TGGCCCGGGTGGGGTAGGTGGGAAATCCCGACGGGGCCCCCCCGGGAAAGGTATATTTGGGGGCCCTCCTGGGCCCCGAAGGGGCCCCTCACCACCCACTCGGGGCCCTTGGGCCCCTGAAATAAGTCATTGACTTAAAAACGTAACAATCATAGCATTAACTCTGTCTGTCGTGGAATTAGAAGAGATAAGCAAGAAACAGCTTTGATAATCTATGGGCTCTCAGCCCTAGGCCCCTGCTGCTGCATGATTACTTTGGTTGATGGTAATGAGCGTGAGCTGGTCTGGCTGACACCCTAGACCTAACTGGAATACAAAAATGCGTATTGAAGGAGCTTTTGCAAATAAGCTACGCAGGCCGATAAATGTGCAATGTATTCTAACCAGTCAAAAGCGCAATTTTAGCGTCATTCTGCGCCATGCGCCATTCATGCATTTTGGCACCCTTAGAAACACACTAAAAAAAATTCGCGCTCGCTTCGCTCGCGGTCTACTTATTCCTACTCTCTGTGCATTGGCGTTCTTACGAGGTTTATCTATCACTGGCTATGGAAAGTGATTTCGCTCTGAATATAGGCATTGATGAAATACGGGCCAAAAATGTGCTCTAGTGATTGCAGGCCGTGAATAAATGGCGCAGGAATGCCATGAAAAATTCGCACTCGCTCCGCTCGCGAATTTAGGCCACTGCGGCCCCGCCCTTACGTTTCTGTATATCCAAAAACCTAGGAGTGCTGTTGCCGTGTGCTAAGATAAGTAGAAAACAGGGGAGGAATGCGAAATTTTTGCCCTTTTCCGTTGAAATCGGTTAAAAAATCGTTGTTGCCCCGAGGTAGGCAATTTGGGGGCCCCTACGGACGATTTCCCGACGGGGCCCCTGACCCCCCAGTCCGTGCCTGAGTTGCCCCGGCTTTTACTTCGTCGGGGTACATCAGTACTGAAAACTTTAAACGCGTTTTCCTCCTATTTCTCATTTACGTTACCGTGTGCAGCCTCCGGGTCACACTTTTTGAGCGAGCCCGTTTGTTCGACAAGAGTGATTTTTGATATCTCATTTCCAAGGTACTGAAAAAGGGGGCAACGTACCCATTTTTTTTCTGACACATTACAGAACACGAATTTCAAAATAGCTCTCGTCAAAGGAAAAGTTCATCTTTTATGAGTAATTGCGCATTTTTGTCGTTGTAGGTCCATCCGATGATGCGCAATACTGCAGACTGTAAAAGCTTGTAACCCTCAACTTAAAGGCCAAGAAGATCATGTTACTGGAGAAGCACGCAGAAGCTCTTTACCTCAAAATGTAGCATTATCCGTCGCTTTTGTAAATATCATTCGTTGAAAGCGCTGCGGTTTTTAGTTTTTTTTTGTAGTTTCGATTCTTCCAAACCCTTGCGTCTCCCAGGTTCTGCGGCCCCTTGAGGGGGCAGACCAGTGAAACTCAAGGGTTTGCGAGATTCGCAAATAGAATTTTTTTTAAAAAAGCAGCGCTTTCAACGACTGGTATTTACTAAGAGCAAGGATCAAGCTACATTTTGAGGTATAGAATGTTTTTGCGGAACATGCTCATCTTTGTATGCCTCTGCCGTCTAAGGATTCCGCATCAACGGAGGGATGCTCATTTACTCACAAAAGATGAAGCTTTCGTTTGACGAGAGATTTTGAATTTTTTAATTTTAATTGTGTGAAAAAAATATCGACAGTTTGGGTACTTCAAATTGGGGTAAAACTTGGGTACTTTGTCCCCTCTTTCAGTACCTCAGAAATGAGATATCAAAAAGGACTCTCGTCAAACGAAATGCACATATAGGCTACAACACGACAAACGGGCTAGTAACGCAAATCAGAAATCGGAGGAAACCGTAAGAAAACTGAAAGTTTTCAGTACCGATGCACAACGACAAACATATGCCGAATCAACGATCTGGTCCTGAAAGATTCCGGGGCTCTAGAAGACACCTTCCTCGTCAAGTATCTTGTCCTGGGCGGCCAGGCGAGCCTGAGCGGTCTAGCCGCCCGGTTGCCCGTCTGGGCCCGGCACGCACTGCAGCAGGTTTTGAGCGCAATTTTTTGAATGTCAACATTTGCGTTGCGGCACTAGGAAGAGGAAAGATCCAAGAATTTTTTGAGGGGGGGGGGCCTACGTCGAGGGACGTATCGTGAAAGCTGATGATACAAATTTACAAGGGTCTACCACTTCAATAATCCTCGTACACTCCCTCGATAATCATTTGATAATCATTTGATAATCATTGATAATCATTTGATAATCCTCCATAATCATGGTAATACTCATAATCACGATAGTCACAAATAATCACGATAATCACAAATAATCACGATAATCACAAATAATCACGATAATCACAAAAAATCAGTGATAATCAGCGATAATCACGGATAATCGGTTAAAATTATGTGATAATCAGTGGTCATCAGATAGCTATACGAGTCGGAGATTTCCTCGACTCGATTTAGAATTGTGCGCGCGGCACGTTTGACTTCCGGTGGAGATCCGGTTGAGTCGCCGACGTCGCACACTCCCGCCATGTCTCAGCTTCACCCACCGTCCCTCTTCCCCCCTTCCCCCGTCTCTCTAAGCTGGTTTACTTATTGACCCTTACGAAAATAATCAGTACCCAAACAGTCCCCAAACAGGACCCATTCAGTACGTTCGCTGTGAGACTAGTGCGCTGCGAGGTCCGTTGAGCTGTGGGACTAGTACGCTTGGCGGTCTCCCAGACGAGACCAGTGCGCGTTATTGTAAGCTTGATCAGCGCCCTAGGACCCACGCGGTACCCTTCCCGAGCGCACTAGTCCCCAAAGAGTGACCGTCCCGCGCGTACTAGGGTGCGTTTAGTACTCATCGGAGGAGACTAGGGCACAAAGAGGACGCGTCACACGGGACTAGGGCGCTTTTGATACTCACCGAAGGGGCCTAGGGCTCAAAAGAGTACGCGTGACGCGGGACTAGGGCTCAGAAAGTACGCGTGCCGCGGGACTAGGGCTCAGACAGTACCCGTACCGAGAGACTCGCGCTCAAACAGTCACTATGCAAGACTAATAATATAGGTGGCGTAGGGACTTGAAAGAACCTTCGAACACATTCGGCAAAGACCCAATAATATCGCAACTCGCTTAACAACTGAGGATTAATTTACGCGGGCCCCATGAAATTATAGTGGGGCAATTCTAGAAAAAAATTGTAAAAAACGTCCGTCAGACGACATTTGTGAGCGACTGAGAGGTGCTACGGGTTGTTGAAGCACATTACTAGACGACTAGACGTGTTTTTGCAAGACGCAACAATACGTAGCACCTCTCAGTCGCTCACAAATGCCGGACACCCCTATCTGATTCAATAGAAATAACGACAAAAAATTAAAGATAAGATGCACTTTTTAAGCCCTACAAGGGCCTGTGCTTCCTGCCCAGAGAGAGAGAGAGAGAGAGAGTGCAAAAAGTGTCGCTACTCTTTGAAGACTGCTGACAAACATTAATTTTAACGCATGCACATGGACCCGCCAGAGGAATAGTTACCTATTTGACGAGATAGTAGTGAAGTGAGCTCCTAGACAAAGATATATTTCAGCATAAGTTGAAGAAGCGCTGCATCGCCCTAAAGATAGAGTCGAAAACTGCGTTCTTCTGCGCGCAGCCGTTCGCCCACACGAGCAGGCGCAAGGACTGCGTCGACTGGGTCCCGAAAGAGGAGGCTGTCGGTTGCGCTCCTTCCCCATGTTACAGGTTGGCTCAGCGGTCTAAGGCGTCGACATCACCGGCAAGGAATCCGAGGAACCAGAGGACAAGGGAACGAAAACGACCGAGCGCGCAGACGGATATGGGACTAGTACGCAAAGAGTCCTCGCGCCGATTTAATTTTTGTTTCAGGCAAAAGGGGACTAGTACGCTTTTAATACGCTCGGCTCGGCGCACGGTCACTGTTTGCGCACTAGTCCCCTCCCAATAAGGGACGGGACCAGGGCACACGGAGGGCGTTTTTTCGTCACTTTTGGGCGTGTTTGAGACCAGTCCCCATGCGCCCGGACTAGTACCCAAACAGTACGCTCGTGGGGACTGAATGGTCCCTGTTTGGGGACTGTTTGGGTACTGATTATTTTTGTAAGGGGAACTTACACCTGTTTCAGACTGAGACATAGTGGGACAGCAAATATTCATCGAGAAGTTACTAGTTTAAGAGATTCGGTTTGATGTTCTTTTCAGACATACTGGGGTCAAACTTTTAGGTTGTTATGACATTCTATTTTTCATTATATTATCATTAATGAATGATGCATCTAAATGTAAGGATTCATTTATATACTTCATACTTAGTTGAAGCTCCAAAGTCATGGAAACATGCCATCTCCAAATCTTTATAATTACATGCCTTCTTAAAGTAGCAAAACAAAAGAAGTAAGGTAAAAACATGAAATAATTTTTTTTAGCCCTTGCCCCAGATTCCAAAGTTTATCTTTTTACACTTAAATTAAGCTTAAGGTGTGTACTAAAACATATCAAAAATCTGGAATGGAGATTTTGGAAATAAGGGAAACGTTCCAGAAAGAGCAGAATTTTTGTATGAAAGATGTTGATAATTAAAGGAAGATGAGGCAATATCACTCATTTCTTCCTTTCTCTATGCTAAATTATTGTTCTTTCAAATGGTTTTGTTTTTGTTCTTCCTTCTAAGATTACTCTTCAACAGTTCTGCATAGTTGTTATAGATCATTTTGGGATTTATTTTATCTGGGGAAGGGGACAAGAAAAATTATTTCATATTTTTACCCTTACAAGAGTTAGACGGGGGTACACAAAGTGAACAGAGTTAGCTTGCCTCATTTTTTCCGGTCTCTTTTGACCTAGTTGACTTGATTTCAATGAAAAGTATTTAGAATAATTTGCCAAGTAATCTTTATCATGAAATTTGGTTTAGACTACTTTAGGTAGTAAATCTAAAACATGATACAGACACAGTTTAGTTTTTAATAAAAAAAAAGGTTACACATACTTACAATTGCTACTTTAAGAAAACAAACCATATATTATAAAGAATGCCATATTCCTCCCTTTCCCACAATGAATGGTCTTCAAAGTGTGACGAGGAAAAAAAATTATAGAAAGTGACGCCAAACGTTTCCTTGTCCTAGCTCAATCCTGCACTGGTCGGGCGGCCCCGGTGGCCTGGCACCCATCGGCGCGCAAGTGAGACAGAGCTAGTACGCTGGCAGCGCGCGAGATGGACACCTTTAACTGGCAGGGGCTAAGGGTAGGCTGCCTACTCGATTAACATGTGTGGCGGGTCGGCCTACCCAGCACTTTGAAGGCGCTCAGGCGTAAGAACCGAGCCTTTTCGAGAGGTATAGCTGTGGTGAAACTTTCATCCATATAACTGTAAATTTCGCCTGTTTCGCCGAATAATCATTTGTACTTTCAAATAATCCTGGATAATCATTGATAATCACGGATAATCATCGATAATCCTTGATAATCATCATAATCGCAATAATCTTTCATATCAAAATAATCAGTAATAATCAGTGATAATCAGTAATAATCAATAATAATCAGTAATAATCACGAGTGATTATAATCCTCGTACGCAAAATTTCTTAGTGGTAGACCCTTGCAAATTTACGGGTATGTCTGTGTCCTAATTTTTCCTCGTAGTTTGATGTCATATGTTTATGGCTGTTTGTTACTCGCTCTCTTGCAATTCGGCGGACTAGCGGTATGTCTATGTCAGAGAGGAAGAGATAGGGGGCAGCGGGTGGCCGGCAGAGCGGCCGGCATCCCTGGCTAAGTATTGTTCGGTATTGTTGAGAACGGTGGGACCGGTGGACGCCTCGCGCCCCCCTTATACATCTGGGTGACGTCATGCGTCTGGTTCTCTGTCCTTACCGAGAGTAAAAGCTACCTGACACTTTAAGTTACTTAAATATTCTTAACGTTTAGTCAAAAGCTTTTTAAGGTATCATCTGCTAAAAATATTTTTTTTGAAGATTTTTACAGGTTTGCCCCCTTAAGCCAATATCCGGAGCAAACTGTCATCATTTTTTTGTGTGTAACTATGGACATTTTATATTTCAGGCTAATCTTCGCACACTTGTTCGTACTGCGAATGAGTTTAACATTAGTATTCTGTCCTACCACGCCTGGTCTCTGATTGACGGCTTCGAATTTTCAAGCGGTTACGAAAAGTAAGTTGTTTCATTCAATCGTAAGATTCCATCCCTGGACTAAAAGTAAAGCGGGTAGGCCATGCCACAGCTAAAGTGTCCACAATGCCCGCCACTCATAAGCATGCACTGTGTGAGGGCTGTCCCGCAACAGCAAATGTCCAACGGACTCTCAGGAGGATCAGAAGCAGAGTAGATGTGGATGTAGAGCGTCACGGATACACGACAGATTTCGTAGCTTTGATATTTAACTTCATGTTTGCTCTCCGTCAACTCCTGACCAAGTTTACACATGCGCGGTGTGCACATTTTAAACGTTTTGGAAACGTTTCGATTCTGCACACTTGGACTCAAACAAATCTATACGATCCATGTGGTGTGCAGCTGCTATACTTTAGGGAAGTGCCGAAAGTTTAAACACCGATTTACGATGAACACAACAATGTGTTCAAAAATGCACACTTGAACTCAAACACAAATTGGCGTGCAACATAAAACACTTGTTTTACCAGTGTAGATTTTTTTCTTTTGGAGTAATATTTGTTTAACTTCTGTTTTCAGGCGTCCGTTCGGTTTGATTCGTGTGGATTACGAGAACAAGAGTCTTAGCCGCACAATCAAGGACTCGTCCAAACTTTTCCAGAAAATAGCTGAAACGGGTTACGTACCGTATATCCCGTTGTCACCACCCACGTCATCCTCATATGTTATTGTGCCCTTCGCAACCTTCTCGTGTTTGTTATCACTAACTACTAATCTTATATAAGTCAGTCAGTGCGTAGTACTGTACTTGCTGATTATTCATGATTTTATGCAAAATTAGCTGTGCATCGTCTGCTTCGTGTTAATTTGATTGATGAAAACTGTCGAGCTTTGAGGTAGGCCTGCTTACGCAAGGGCCTATCGAAGAACTCAAATTTTGAGCTAAACATGCTGAACCACAGCAGCCCTTTACAGACTGGCCAAGGGCTCTCATTTGGGTGATTTCTCTTCCCGCGAGAAAGGAAAGCCATTGTACAGAATGTGTGGTAGTGGATGATCGTGTGTATGAATGTGCTGTGCATATGAAAGTGGAGGGCGTGTTTGTGTACGCGGACAAGGGGCCCTTATATAAGTCACATCTATACTACTACATGTATTCGGAAATAAACTATTATCAGTACGCACTATGAACAGCAGTCAACTTCTGAAAAATGTAAGCGGAGTAGATTTTATGCGCCTACCAATCTAACTGAAAATTGGCGTGGGAACTCTTTTCAATTAGACTCACACTACCTGCAAAACTTACCAATAAATGAAATTAACAGTATATGGTGGCACTCCATAGAAAAAAAAACGACGCGGTAACATACGACGTAACGCACCGCGCCCAGCCGAAGTGTGGCACAGCGCGGCAGGTTACGGTCAGGCTGCCGCGTACAAACATAACGTATCTTATTTGGAGAATCACCCGTTTGTGTAAGGGAGGGTGGGGCAGTGTGTAACAGATTTTGAGTTTTGGCTTTAAGGGGGCAGACCGGCAGACCTGTGAAAGGGTTTGCAAGAATAGTCACTACGTAAAACCTACACGCATCCGATTTGGGATTGAAGGTGTAGTAAGAGCGTAGATGGGCGCTAATTTTGCCGTTGGCGCCGGTACGCACACCCTCCAGGAACATGCCGATCTTTACCTTCAACTGAAACGATGCAGTTCCCTTCGGTGTGCACGATTGTAGCGCAACGGATGGGTCTGCGGCGGTCAAATAAATTGCCAGTTACTCTTACAAGAAGCCGCTAGCGGTTGACCTGGGGGATTTCCAAATTTCGAAATGGAACTACTCGAACAAATTTACAATAAACGGAAATGACAAAACAAATTTTCCAACTTTTTCGTTTTTAGCTGTGATGTTGTTTTTAGTACTTCCATCGCGAAATTTGCAAAACACTCAGGTCAACCACTAGCAGCATCTTTTTAGAGTAAGTAGTGTTTATTTTACAGTCGAAGACTAATCCGTTGCAGCACAATAATCATGCACACGGAGAAGGACTGTATCGTCTAGTTGGAAGCATGTTCCTGGAGAGTGCGCGCACCGGCGTCCGCATCTATGCTCTTAATACACAGTTAAATCCTTAATCGATGTGATGTGTAGCTTTTATTAAGTGACTATTTTCCCAAACCATCCAATTGACAGGTCTGTTCCCTTAAACCAATGAGAAATTCGAATTTTATACACCAGCCACCGCATAGTCCTCGCCTGAACCCTTACGTAGTCATTGCACGTAGCGAATTTCGAAATTTTTGATCAGCAGCTCGGTCGGTGGCAGGCCCCGCACGCGTCGCGTATGTGCGCTTACAGGGTCGATTACTGTGTCCTCTACCCTAGCGCAAAGGACTGGACCGGCCCGGGCGGGAAACGGCAAACATCCGCGGGGGCCACGGGCCACTGGTGGCTGGAGACTACGACAGGCGTGGCCGGAGGCCGACTGAAGCGTATGCTGTGTGGCCACGAGAAGCGTGGCTGCGAGGTCTCGGGGCAATGCCACACTGTAAAAGCTACGGAGTACAACTGTCCTCATTATGAAGATCGCCAAAAGTTGACCCTACGAGGGGGTCTGTGGTCGCCTTAATGAGGACAATCGTACCCGTCCTAGGGGTACTTCGATCACCGTCTAGTCCTCCGTACCCCACGCACGGCGACTATTGTCCTCCTTGTGGTGCGTCCTTGTCCTCCTTCGAGATCCTTGTCCATGCCCGCGGAGGGTTCCGAAAGCAGTGTACTTCTCGCGAAATGTAACAGAATGTCTTTGGCAAAAGTTGGGCCAAAAAATATTTTTTCAGTTTTTTTTTGTCTTGCTTGGTTTACTCTCCGGCCTAGGCCCGCCTTGGCCCTTCACACGATGTAGTGAGGCCCCCACGGCCCCTCACATCACTAACTTGGTAGGCTGTCATCATGGTTGGTTCGGTTACTACATAGCCGCAAGATACGCGTGTTGCTGGCAGTGCCGGGAATAGAACCTCGGCCATGCCAACTCAGCGCTCATGCTTCGTTCGTAACTTACTGGATCACCGCTCCACATGGGGGCGGGCATTGCCGGCGGTGCAAGACATTCCAGCCTCCCTCTGACCTGCCTCGTCACCGGGTTACGGGGGACGGGCAGGGTAAAAGAGGGGTGGGGGGCTGCAGCGCGCGCCTGCCCAACGGGAGCAGTGCGGGAGGACTTACGAGGACGAATGAAACCCTGAAGGGGTGCAATAATACTGCAGTTGGGAGTAAAAATGGAAACCTGAAGGGGTTCAATAATACTGCTGCCTACACATGGAACCCTGAGGGCTGGGCGGTATTTTTTTCCCGAAACCAATAGTCAATATATTTTTATATTGGAATTCCGGGCAAT